ACTAAGTTTCAAAATTTTTTCCTCATTTTCAGCAATGTGTCGAAGTAAGAAATGGAAAACCTGATCGATGTTTTGATTTCAGAATTAGTAATAGAAAAGCAATCATTCCTGATCAAAACAAAACAAATCCGATCGAAAAAGCGTTTGTTTTGTAGAAGTTACAGGACTTTTACTCAAAGCACTGCTACACCCAGAATTTAATCATTACGACGCACTCGATAGAAACCTCCATAGTTCTACAGCCAATAATCGTCATACAGAATATCAGTCGTACACATCAATTCGATTTTAGATGAACATTAATTTGGTATATAATAAATTTTTATATCATTTGTAGTTTCAGTTCTACCCCCCTGGAAAAATATTATTTCCAACCGAGTAGATGATGTCTTTATAGTTGAAATATAGCAACATTTCTTGAAATAAGATTTACCTGCGTTCACTTCGTATGTTATCCATTAATTCAGCATATGATGGTACCTTTGGTTTCAGAAACGTTTTTGTTCCCAATTCTGTTCTCTTTCGTTCTTCTTCTTTGTCATCAGTGAGAGATCTTTTATTCTCTTCAATATTTTTTAGTATTTCATCTGTTAATTTCGTCTTACTTTGATCTATCTGCAATGGGATAGCCAAAGTAGGAGAAAGGGCAGTAATGAAAACTGGCTGTTGTCCTGTTGAGGATGAATAAAAAGCGGACGCTTGTTGATGTGCGACGAATGCTTCCTCAGACGGAGGGGGTGGTGGAGGTTGCAAAAGTATTTCAGTCAGTTGTTGAACGTTTATTCTTTCATCTATAAGATTTTCTTCTGCTCTTGTTGTTGTCATTTCGTCTCGATCTTTTTCCACCAATTGACTGTCTGATGGTCTTTCTTGCTCATCTATTGTGCCGCCATTTTCTGATGTTAACTCAATCCCAAGTTCCTTTGCTTTTCGTTGTCGAATTTTATTTAATCTGCTTGCCATTGATTGATGTCGTTTTTCTTTTTCTAATAAATTAGTTCTTTGTTCTTGTATTGTTTTGGCTCGTAAGTCATTCAATGTACTCATTTGTTCTGTACGTTTCTGTTCATCTTTTGAAAATTGATAATAGCCCACACCATGTTCTCGCTTTTCATCAAACAATATATCCTGATAATGTAATTGTGTTTTATCACGAATTGCTTGCATATCTTGCTCCCATTTTTCACGCATTTGATCACGATGTACACGTTCAACACGATCAATTTCCGATTCAGATTGTTCAATAGTAGTCGAAGGTGGTGGTGATTGTAAAGATTCTAACTGTTGTTTTTTTTCTAACTCATCCCTCGTCAATAAACGTGTGCGACCAAACGAGTCGACATATTCAACTTTATCACTATTATTAGCAGAAATAATTGTTGGTTCTTTTATTATTGTTGTATTATTTTCATATACTTTTCGTTCAAAATCTACCAAAAACATTTCACCATCGTCATCACGTAATGTATGTCCATCTTTCATCAATTGATCATAAATTTTAGATTTAGCTTCGAGAATAGCTCGTGACTTAGCAAGTGCTAGTTCTTCTTCACGAGACACTGGCGATGTTATTGATGTGATAGATTCTGGTGCTTCCTTAGCAGTAGATGACTTTTTCTTTGACGGTGTTTGTTCATCATTTTTCAATTTTAAGGATGTTTGAGATGTCGTCGATATCGATGGAGATAATTTCGTTTGAAAATCATTACGTTTACGAAATAGTTCTGCTCTTAATACGAACAACGAGGCTGTTGTTGCCTCAAGATTTTTTTGTTCTTTTTGTGGAACATCCATAAATTACAATCTAAAATTTAATAAATGAGATTATAAGATGAATAGAGAAATTTAAAAATATCTAATGATTGATTCCTTAGCAAAGAACGATAAATGTTACATCAGATTGAAAAATGAAACATTTATCTTAACTACCAATACCTCAATGTTGCTCATAATTCGTTTCGTAACATGGTTTGTTTCGTCAAAACATTTTCAGTACAAGAAAACAATGACTTTTTATTGATAAAACATGTCTAAGACAAAATTGCATACATATCTACAAAAATAAGTTTACAATAAGTTTAATGGAATGATAGTTTTACCAAAAGAAAAGAACTTTTAAACTTTTTAAAAGTTTTCTAACTATTAACACAACACATACAATAAAAGTACAGGAAAAACTATAAAAAGTACAAAGCTATCAAAAAAACGTACAAATTATGGAAAAAGTATAGAGATGCGTACACGCTGTAAGAAAACTATCACAGAGTAGTGGTTGATAAATAAATTTACATAGCACAAGTTTCTTATTCTAATTGATAAAAGAAGATAGATCTCATTATTCTCATTTCTGAACTTAGCACAATAAACAGAAAAGTAAACTGTGACTTGGAGTATGCTATCTGGATGTAAAATGTTATTTTCTAATCAATGTAAGTCGCATGAACAAATCTTCTTCATATATAGAAAGTATATGTAGCTCACTAAAATTCGACGTGGTGATCTGTTCGTTTTATTTCATGTCCACTTTGTTTTGCTAATAATATGGCTATATTTCGTGCACTAATAGCTTCAATTTCCATACAACTTGAGGCCCACTCTAAAGCATTCAGATAAAATATGTTATCACTCAAACGTATTGGTGGCATTTTTTGTGGATAAGAATATTTTGGATAAGCAAACCAATTGATTTCATTTAAAATTGTATAATTATCTTTCATAAATATCTGATCATAATCGGTTTTAGATAGTTTATCGGGTGAAAATACTTTGTAAATATTCAGTGGCTTTTCTTTATTCACTGACGAATGTTTATACTCGACATCAATTTGTTGTGCAGCGCAACGGTATGGTAATTTTGGGTTTGTATAAAATATGGCATCTAAACGCTTACACTCATCGTTTGTTAAATTATATTGAAGGCAATTGAATCTACCATAGATGTAATTTGATATTGTGGTTTGCATACGATAATCAGTTGGATTCAATGTCAATGATGATAAGACAAAATCTGTCATTTTATCATGTAATGGAAATGCTATGACGGCAAAATCATATTCAACAGCGTGAACCAATTTACTATTCGCTGGTTGATAAAACAAACGTACACTCCCACTATCATCATCGTCCTGATCTCCTGATTTCTGTTTAATAACTTCTTCAATATTTTTAACATGACCACTAACAACGTGTACACCATGCTTTTCTTCTAATAACTTCAATAAATGTTTGGGAACTAAATAATTACCGCCTTTGACGTGCCATAATGACGACCCAGTCGCCATCAATGATACTAGTCCTGAAAGGAAAAAATCACCAACGTGTGATAGAAGCCAGAAGAAAGAATTCTTTCACTAGGAAAATGTAGGAATATCTCTAGGTGATTATGAAACAAATATGATTCATCATAGCTATCGTCTGTTGATGGAGACTATCTAAACACTTACCAGGAAAGCCATGCATTGTATCAATCGATTGATCATAATTTACCAATGCAGCAATTTGCGCTAATTCTTCAATAAACTTTTTATTGTAATTTTGTTTCATTAATAATTTTCGAAAAGATATTTTCGTTGATTCATAAAAATCTTTATCCAATAATTCCAGAAACTCGCTAACTGTCTCGAATGATCGTCCATTATCTTGATAATCATATATACTATAATAACGATAAACTCTGTTTTGTATTTTAAATAATTACAGTAAAATAGATAATTGACTATTACCTTAAAAAATTTGCTAATTTTCTTTTTATCCAAAAGTTCATTCGAATAATATCGAAACCATAACGCCATAATACTGAAAATATTCCTGGTATGTAACGTGTTAACGTTGAAAATAATGTTTTACTACCATCTGATATAATATAAGAAGTAGCTGGTGCAGTTAAACGTTCTAATCCAAGCTCTTCAGCAAATTTGACCATATATAGATTTTTTTCATGAATAATTGAGCCACCAGCTTCATACTGTTTGTCTTCAGCTTGAACATTAGCTAAACGTCCACCAACTTCATTCGTTTCGTAAATAGTAATTGAAACAGAATCATTTAAATAATGTTTAAGCCAATAGGCACAAGTTACGCCGCCAATTCCTGATCCGACAATTGCCACATGAGTACGAGGGATGACTGGTTCCTCAGCGTCTTCACTATTATTGCCAGTGACGAATACAGAAGCTAATAAACAAAAAAATAGATTAACTGTTAAATGAAAATGTACTATTCGCATCTGAAAAGAAAGATGGACAAAAATAAGTTCGATTAGAAACATCTGAGAATTCATTTTTACGAGTTATACCTCGTAGCTGACTTCTCTTCAAAACGACTATGTTTTAAACAAATACTGGAAGATGAAAGAATAACCTGCCTTGCAGCAATCATTATAGGGTGCTCACAGGTCAGATTCATCAGTTTAAAGTGGATCGATACTTTCTCTGCAGTTGATAATGTTCGAAGATGGTCATCTGTCTCTATGTAAATCACCAAACTCCAGTTTTACCGAGAAGGCTAACTTGGTGCAAAGTTCTTTCACATAAATGTTTGAATTTACTAACCACATACGAGCTTTTTAGCTAGAAACTATGACACAAATCACAAGAGAGTATTTGTGTGCTATCGGATGAGTGATCCAGGACATGTAGACACGAGTAACTGACCCAAAACTAGTACACCATTTGATGAACACAGCACTTTTAAAATATGTGACGAACAACGTAACTGTTAAGCCAAGTTATAATTACGGTAACTGAGGCTCGGTCATTACTTTTCAATGCGTCGAAATGGTACAGTACATTGTGCGACTGTTCTGATGTTTATAACTATTTTTGATGTTTTTATCTTAAATTAAATTTACTAACAGAAAGTAATCATTTTTTATGGAATAATATTTCAGATGCTAGTAGACTATTGGTTTAATTTCGTTATTCAGCCCAAGACAGATATCAATATAAAAATTTGTATGAAAGAGAATTTCATGCTACGTAAATGTTGATGTTTTAAAGTATATATCTCACTGATTGAATGCTTATTATTTTTTGTTATCTTTCAATCTATAATAAACAGCTCTTATAATCAGATTACATGTCAGAAAAAGAAATATGAATCACTTATTTTCAAAATAATAGAATAATGTGAACGAAAAAAACAAAATAACGAAAAACAACTATGAACAACTAACCATGAATATGTGCAAATCTCTCTCTTTCTCTCTGTTAGATGAGGTTTATACAGGGTGAGGAGAATAGCTAAAACAAAAAAAGGTTAAGAGGCAACCAAACAGATATGTATGTTCATTTGGGAACAATAACAAGAAGAAAAAAATCATTCGTTTCAAACATAAGACTATGTGCACACGTATAAAAATAGAAACAACAAAAAAAACAAATAAACGTTTATTTCAATCGTTGAGTGACGTTGGCTAATGCAACAGCAAACGCTGTTACACAAGAAAATGGCCATTCAAAGTCCAACGTATACATGTGATTTTCAATACGACCAAACTGCATCACCTAGAAAAGAAATTAGAACCATTGTACATAGCAAAACTCAAATACGGATAGGTGTTTTTTACCTGTTTTCCTTCAAATTCAATTTGAAAATTTTTTGCCGATTCCAAGGTCACTCTACCACCAAAATCTAACTGATATACTTGAGAAAGTTCGTTCCAAATTGGTGGTCGATTCTGCATCGAATAAGTGCACGAATCTCTATCGTCTATTGATCCTCGAGATGCAATAGATTCAGATGGTGATTCATTTGTCCCACTTGTGCATGCCATCATTCGATGTCGAGGACTAGAATACCAGGACAACTAAAAAAAAATAAACAAAAATACACATTTTAACTTTCTATCATGAATTATAGCCGCATCAATTTAAGAAATAAAATATACAAATCTAAGCTCATGGCTAATTCTTCCATCGAAAATTTACATCTACACAACGGAACTCTATTGGAACTGTAGGAACAAAGTGACAACTATACCTTTTGCTGATGATTGTTAGTCGTCGATGGTGATTGGAATCTATCTGTCGTACCAGTTCTAATTGGTGTTCGACAAATTTGTTGTTGATTGTCAATATCATCATCTGGAATTCGCTGTATTTCATCCTGATCTTCATCCTTCCGCTGTTTATTATTTTCCTCATTTGCTGATATCTGTTGATGTTGTAAAGATGAAGACGATGCTCGTGTCAAAATTTTTGACTGTTTTGGTGATGAAATTGTACTTTTTTGTTGATGTGATCGTTTATCATTACTTAATTTTGTTGTCTGATTTAATGTTGGATCACTTAAACTTAATTTTTGTTGAGCAGAGAATGTAGAGTCAATATACCAGTCACGATACGTATCCGGTTCAAAACAATTTTCTGGACGTTGTTGTTGAATATCTGACGTCGAATATTTTTGTACTTCACTATCGTAACCGGATGAATCGTCAATTAATAGTGTTTTTGTTGCACTGGATGTTGAAGCATCAATATTAGCAACAGTTGATCGGACATTTTTCATTTCAACTGTACTTTTATGATGCTGAATTACCATTGTAGTAGTAGTGGTAGCTGTCAATGATGAAGTATTTGTGGGTGAGCAATGTCGATAATTTGTAGTCGATGTGGACAATGCACGGTTAAATTTAGGTGATAATGGTTCTTTTACTTTGATACACGGTGGAGATATTGGACGAATGAAATTAGCTAAAGAAGCAGCTGGCGATGTTGAACGACTAAGATTTATCGGAGAAGTTGACGAAGAATTCGCTGCTGATGAATCATTGTTTGTATCATGTCGATGTAATTTATTATGACGATGACTAGTACGTGGAGAATGACGTATAGACGAAGACGTAGACGAATGGAATATATTTTTAGCAGTGCTCGAATCACTATGTTTTTTATTCGAATTCTGTTCGGATAATAGTAGTATTGAACGAACACTTTTTAGCTGAGGACTCATTGGAGCTATAGGAATTGATGAATTGAAAGTGCATGTCGTGGGAACATTTCGCGATTGATGTGGATCCAAAACCACTAAAATAGATGAAAGCGTTATTTCTCACTAATTTCTAATTTGGAAAGTTATATCTCACCAAAACTGTCATCATCTTCTTCAATATCTTTTTCTACTTTACTTGTTTTATTCTTGTTTTTCTTTCTTTCATCTTGTTTACATTCTGTGTTGTTGTTATCAACTGCGGCTGTATTGCAAACTGTTACGGTCATTTGTCTTGGTTGTAAATGTAAAAATGATGTTTTATACGTTACACTACCAAGATATTCAGGTAAATAAGGTGAATTTCCAAGAAGTTTAAATCTTGTGCCCCATATGTTTGCTGCTATTGTACAAAGTTTATTCATCTAGAATTAAAAAAGAGTTTATCAGCTAACAACGTTTAATACTCGACTAAATTCACTTCTTACATGTTTATGTTTTAATATTTTTGGTGTTTTCTTTCTCAAATGTTGTTGATGTAGTGATTGTTGTTTTTTCGTTGAATATGTAGTATTATCAGCGTCCGAATCATTTCCTGAACTACAACCTGAACTACTTTTCCATGTATCGTCAGGTGTTTCACCTCGTTCTCGTATAAATGATTTTGGAACAAATACTGAACTAGGCTTCGGTACTAGACTAGTACGATTTGCCGCCGTTAGTGATTTCGGTGATGAAATATTTTGAAATGTATTTGAACGAGGACGATTGAGTGGTTGTTTAGGAGTTGAGTTGGGTGATACTGGTGTTGTTTCACTATTATTATTAGTCACTGGTACTTGCGGATCAAATATGATGAAATCTGGACAAATTTTTGACACACGTTTTGCCGATAGTAACGGTATAAGTCCTCCTAAATATTCTAAGTATAATACGTATATTGCACCACTACCACTGTTATTATTCGACGATGAAGACGAGGAAGCGGACGAGACTTCATTATCATTTCTATCGTTGTTATTATTATCGATACGTTTCATAGTACATTGTAATCTCAACCGTTGTTTCAGTGGTTCACACACAAATGTTCTTAATGTATTTTGATTTGGAAAAAACCCTTTTATTGTTGATCTATACAATTCACATAGCTGGTGCTTCAATTTCGGTGGCAATATTAATTTTTCAATATTATGTAGAGAATTTTTTAGTATCTGTTGTTTGATTTTAATCTGACACAATTTTAACATGGATGGAAATGATTCATGGGCGATCCATGCTGTATAAACTGCTGCACCACATGCAATAAACAATCGTTGATCACCATGAGCCCAACATAGCGAAGACAATGAACGAGTCTAAATATAAAATCAAAAAATTAACATTTGCAACACTGTATCCTGAAAATTGACGTATGTCAGCATTATACGATAACCTCTTTGTTTAGAAAAAACTAGTATAGCCACAATGACTAAGTAAACACAGACATAAAAGAACTGTTGTGAATCAAAACAACACATACTATATTTGGTATATGTAACTTATATAATAGTTGACCGATGCGATTATAGAATAGAACATGATTATCACAGCCAAGATCATGCATTCGTTGATGACCACCAATAGCAAGAATTTGAGACGTCGACCAGTCCATTTTTATGCCTAAATAAAATAAGCATTTATCGTAAAAATCGGATTTTTTTAAATTTTACAGTCTTACTTTGTAAACCAGTTTCAACAATGGTTGGTGCTTGATCCATATAATTAGTCATAAATAAAACTTGACCATGTTTCAAACTACAAGCCAAAACATAATCTTCATTTACAAATTTCACTACGCCTAAATAAAATCAGAAAACCAAATGAAAGTTCATTAATGACTAAAAATTCTAAAAATCGCTTACGTCGCTGATCAGTTTCTAGTATACGATGATTTACATAGAATTTATCGCACGAATAGAGTAATTGTGTAATTGGATATGTTGAGAGTGAAAATACTTCTGTTGTGTTACCTCTATAATCCATTAGTATCATGCCACCATCAGATGTGCCGAGTAAAACCTAATGAAGAAAAAACTGGCATTCATCAGAAAATACTTTAAAATTAAATATTTACATGAGTATCATCTGGCGTCCATGTCACAGCCGTTATTTTACTCTGAGCTGTGTTGACAACAGCCGACCAATATCGTTGACCTAAGCAACAGATTTATGTTAATATTAAGCAATGAATATATAGATAACTGTTTCTTTACCCGTAACAGATCCAACTAGAACAAATCCATCAACATAACAAATAACAGTCATTCGTCCATCATGAGACCAGGCCAAATCAGTCACAGGATGACTTCGATCATTAATTAACTCTAACGACCATCGAGATTCGTGTTTGACCCAAACAAAAATCACTCCTTTTTCGTCGACAGTAGCTAATTTTTGATAAGGAGCATTCCATGTTACAATTCTAACCTATATAACGATACTTAGAAAGTAAATATCTTAAACGTTCTCTTTTTTCTCACATCTGTACGGTGTGCTCTTAAATTGAAATTTGTTCGTTCGAATGAATGAATATATTCTTCTTCATCATTTGTTTGAACTGATGTATGAGTGATACTAACAATATGATTACTATTTCCGGTGGCTAACCATCCATCCTGCAGGAGAAAGATATATATAAACTAAAAAGAAATACATTGTAACTTTAAATATACCTTAGATTTGTCTGGTAATGTTGATGATTCAGATTCATTGTTATTTGCCGATATAGTAGTTACATCACTAATATAATTCATCCATGATAACGACTGTATCGTTGAATCTGTTCGAGCAGTATTCGATAATTCGAGATAAGCAAACATAATAACTTTTGTTTTTTTCTCTTATTTTTGAGAACAGATCCTGTTCTACATTCTTTTTCAATTGTTACATGATTTTTATAAGAAAAACTCGATATTGTGCGTTCATACTTTTGCAAAAACAAAAAGTAACCAAATAAAAAAAAGTGAAAAAAAGATCAGATCTAGAAAACAAGAAAAGGCATGGTAAGACTTCGTCGTCGTTTATTTATTTTTTATTTTTTTAATTTCCTGATAGAATAGTATTACATTGAGTGATATGATGCAAAAAATAGTTGCGATTTTGTTCTTGTACCATTTCTTTTCTTTTAAAATAAAAAAAAGTTTATACTGACTTTGTTAAAATTAAAAAAATTCATTGTAGATCGAATAAATATAAAAGTTAGTCCGAAGTAGTTATTTGAATTATATATCAGTAAAATTTTATACAATGATCCTGTTTGTTCTAAAATTTAGTAATTCGTTTATCTCAATATTTCGAAAAATAACAATCCTAGAATAAAGGTAAAGTTTTTTTTTATACAAACTTGCTTTTTGCTGCGTTTCAGAAGAACAAGAACAAGAAGAAGAAGAAGAGGCAATCGAGCTGTGTATACAAAAGAATTAATTTTTGAATAATGTCAAGGTGAAAAGATAAGAGCAAATACATGGACATGTAAAAAAAAAATGAATTTATCTATTAGTAGTGTGTGTTAGCGGTTTTCTTAGCTCTTGCTGTCTCGTTTAGTTGTTTTGTTAACTGATATTAATTCTACATTTCTATTTTATCCATGAAATGAAATATTTGAAAAGTCTTTTTATTATATAAAAAAAATTCTCCCGCCGTCTCCGTTTTTTTTTGCATATATATCCATCACCTTTAAGAACAAAGAAGAGAAAGAATAAATCTTTTTCTCTTTTTACATATACACACACTATTTATGATAACTATCTTCATTCCATTAAGAAGATACGCTTTTAGACAGGAATATACAAGTGTGTATCCGAAATAGAAGAATGAAGGATACAAAAATTATACCTATTTACTAAAACATAACGTCTATCATGATTTAATCTTCATTACAATAAATCTTTCACCATTTTTCTTTTTTATAGTTGTTCTTGTTGTTGTTCTCTGTCTTTATTTTTCTTTTCATTTTACTGTATTTTTCTCTATTACAAAACTAGACATTGTGTGTATATCCTGAGAGAAAAAAAAAATGAAATACGGAACCATAACACGTCTCTTTAATGTACTTATATGTAATAATAAAACAAAAAAAAATCAAGTCAACAATTATTTTTGACAGAATTGTATACATTGTATATTCACTTCTCTTCTCTTCTAAGTTTTCATCGTAAACAAGCTGTTAAAATTATGATTTAAATTTACATTTTATTCTTTCAGAAAAATAAACGAAAATAGATCCATTATAACAATCTAACGATAATAAATAATCGAAATTTCATGTTAATATTTAATACATAAATTAATGCTACACTTTTATTTTAAAAGCTCATACTACTGTCTACTCTAGTTAATATTAAGTCTATTTTATAAATAAAGTTTTAATAGAATAAGATTTGAAATTGAAGATACTACTCTACTTAGATTATAACTAAAATTTAATATGTACGAGCGAATATTATCAAATACAAACAATATCATAGTCAATAACGTATGCTAGATCTATTAAATGGGGTTAGTTAGTTTATCATGGATTCCAGATATATCTGGTGATAAGAATAATATTTACTTAAAATGTCTGTGATGAAATTTTGAGACAATTTGATATTTTAACCAAGGATAAATGTAACGAGATAGAATTAGCAATGTCTATTTAGGTTAATTAAGCGAATAAAACGAATTAATTTAATGTATGAACATTAGAAAATTATATTCTTACACAGACGTCTAATAAAAATGTTTTTTCATCGTTTTATATCATTTATTTTTTTTTCTCTTTTTTTCCAGACGCTATCCTGTTAGGGAAACGACAGAAACATTTTCTAAACGTCTATAATACATATATTTTCTTAAAAGTGAATGTATTTGTCTAAAAGTATACTACATTTCCTCAACTCTAATCTCTCCTCCTTAAGCGTATAAATCTTTTGTCTTTTAAAATTGTATTTTTGCTTAAAGACATAAAAGTTGTTAAATAGACACACACATGATTAATCGAGAACAACAGCAATAATTGCTTTGAAAGTCTTTCAAAAAACTTTTTTCATTATTTAAAGACAAGAATAGTGGGAATATATAACGACTGAAAACGAGATTTCTTTAAAATAAAATAAAAAATAAAATAATCTGTATTATCAATTTTTTTGAAAGACAAAGAAGTCATTTTAGACGATAATTGTAACTGAGGGAGAAACGCGACACGATATTAATAAAGCTACTAAATCTTCTCGTTTTTCAAATTAGTTTGTTCTCTCTAGATTAATTTGTCGACACACAAGAGTTCATTGCCTATGTGTTCAAATGTGTGTTAAAGTTCATGTACTTATTTATTTAGTGCACATCAATAAAATAATAATAATATATTGACTTATCAATCATCCCACGAGAGATTTAACATGCACGCATCTACATTTTTTTTCCTTACTGTATCCTCTTCCTACATCATCATTAAACTAAAAAATTTGTTTACAACAAAGTCTGGACTTTCGAGAAAAAAGAAATGCCGAAATAACATTTCAAAACTTATAACAACTTTTAACTCTTGTCGTTTATGTTTTTTTTTTTTGTCAAACACTATCCTAACAATCCACTAATTTAAACCTAAATACTTTAGTAATAATTTAGTATTTTCTGTTCAAAAACTAATCAAGATAAAATACTTAATGATAGAATCTTACTCTATTCTATGAAGATTTAGACATTATTCTCGATATTTGTGAGACTTATTTTATATGTGATCGATTTCTAAAACCTTGGAAACCAATCATATCTACACAATAAGAAATAAAACAACATAAAGACGTTTACGTACATGGGAGATCTATTTCTGTGTATTGTTATGGGTGATACACAATAGACTTACTACAAAAACTTAAACTGATAATTAACAAATATTAAAAAAAATTACATCATGATCTCCGTTCTAATGAAGCAAGTCAGTCGATGTTGTGATCAAGGAAAGTCCTTGAAATCGCTTAGCTTCAAAATTTTTGTAACTAACAATTTCTCTTCAGATCATACTGAAGAATAACATAAAGATTAACAAAAAAAATAATAACTACTTTGGTACTTCAACAATTCTTGAATTGCCAATAACGAAAAAACAATCCATGATTCGATAAAAATTGTCTCAATTTCTCCTTCAACACAGGAATCAATATAAAAAAAAGTAAAAGAAGTTGGTTTAACTTGAAAACCTAGCGTAAGCGGCATAGGCTTTTCTACAAACAAAAGTTTTCTGGGCGTTAGTTGTGCCAGAGAATACACTGATCTCGAATAATAACTAATTAGAACAACTAAACTAATTACTGATTAAATAAGTTTTAATGCGCTACTTTTTTGATGAAAAGTATCCGCACCATCGGATAGTTGATGGACACGAACGCCACTCAGTAGTCCCAAAGGATGCCATGCATACCGATGCGTACTGATTTTTACTAACTATACACTAAAACTTTCTTCTAGGATTTGTATAGTGCAGTCGGCAGAGCCAACTAGCGGTTTTTTTTAACAAGGCTTTCCTAAGACCGTTCCAAAAAATTGAAATATTACAACGAAGTTCTAAAAGATGGTTGTTTCTTACAAAATATCTTATAGAGCGGGCAAATTTTGTTAATTTGAAGACAAATTTCAAACTGGCATTCCGCATTTTTTTTTTGCCCTTGCATTATACAACGTCCTTATATTCCAGCTTTTGATTTTTCTCAAGCGTTCTCATTTGTAAAAGTCGGAATCACTATTCTTAGAGTTTTCTAAGAAAATGTCTTCATTTCAATTAATCTTCTCAGATTTTTAGACAATATCAAAACTTACTAATATAATAAGCACAGAAAGATTTGCCGAGTGTTTTACTCAAATAGTGAAAAAATTTGTGACTTATCCCTACAAATGTGAGAAAAAATGTTGGAGCAGAGAATTCATTTCATAAAAGAATCTTAAAACACTTTAAACAAATAAATCAACTGAATATCAATCACAATCACATTGAGTCACAACAAAACACAGCACAACGGACGGACAATATAATAAACATGATTATTTTTCCTGTGTAGCCAATCAACGTCTCACTGTAAAGATGTCGCAATAGTAGATTCTGATTGTCTAGTCATTGTCACGTTCTCCATTAAGGACACAGGCTGAGATGGTTGTCTAGTATTTTAGCAACGTAAATATAGCAGCTGACTTTCCTGAGTATTGTCACCAGCAGTGCCCACTTTACGATAGGCTGTTGCAACATTCATTACTATCTAAGTTTTGAGAAAGAGAGCGTTCCATATAATTTTTGTTGCTTATTCATTTATTTATTCATCTATTTTGCTTTGTTTTCAATAAATGAAAATCAGAGATATTAATTTGAATCAGATCTAAGCTTATTCACAGAACTTGGCTGCTTATTTTTGAAGTAGGACGCCCTAGTTTTCTCTTTTTTTCAGCGCTGTCATAATTTATCTATCTAACATTTTAAAATTGATGGACAAAATCTTTCCGTAACCTGTTTTTCTGAAAGGCTTCGAGATGACCGATTATTTTTAAGTATATCGTTTGGGTTTTACTAAGAAAGAGAGAAAAATGCTGAACAACTTTAATTTCATTATATCAAGAAATAAAGATGAAATGATATTATAAACGTTCTTTTGATTGTAGAAAAAACTGGCTAAGAGAGGTGTATACATTTGTTTAAGTGAGAACAAAATATTCATTGATAAAGTTGATTATAATTTCGAAGCGACGGTACTTGTCGTTTTTATCAAAAATAACATCTACTATGAAATTATGTTTACTGAATTCTTTTCTCTTAAAACCATTTATGTTATTATGTTAACCGCCAGCATACTGAAAACATTGAATTAGATTGAATATGATGCTATGATATGCAATATTAAAATATGCACTCAGATATTTTAGCGCATATTGTTTATCGATATAAATATCTGATTTAGTCATTAGTTTCAACGATATTACAGTAGTAGTATAAAGAGCAAACAATCGTTTGAAAAATTTCATAATTTTTCAGTTACTGGATGTTATTCCTGATTTATTTTAGATATGTGTAATACAATCAGTATGCGAATATTGCGTACACTGAGGTAAGACAATTTTTAGACATACACTATTTTTTTTCTTTTTATATCATTCTAGTAATGATCTTTTTCCTTTTACTTTCATTATCTTTTATTTGTTTTTAACAAAAAAAAAATCTATTTCATACTCACTAATCTTTTCTGTATTATTTTATCTCCCTGAGGATTTTACTCGATTTCGATGATCCATTCAAATCAGTCGAACGAATTAAGGTTTTTTTCTATCTTTAATGATACATTCTAATTTTGTACATTTTCTTTTTCCGATTTTTTTTTCGATAATTTAAAAAAGGTGGGATAAAGTTGAGTTTAGTAATATAAATATCGTACTTAACTAGAATACTATAGTATTCAATCCTCTTCTATCGATAAAAAGAACATTTTGTTTTTCATATTTTTAGTCTAAGATAAAAAAGGAAAAATTTACATAGTTCAAAGATTATCTTTTTTTTTTCTCATAAGATGTTCAAATTTTTTTCCCATTATTTCGCCTTTTTGATAAAGTAGAAACTGTTGCATGATTTTTTCAAATACAGTAGTATGAATTATTAGTATTATAAAAGCCATCATTCGATCAACAATGAATGACTCCTGAGGATAGTGAGGATGCTTTCTTTTTTTTTGTTTTATATTTGATCAAATTTATTCTGGTTTTTCTTTTTTTATTTATAATATGATTTGCATGTGGATTGATAAAAAAAAATATAGCTACAAAGCTTACTTTTAGAGATTTAGTTTTGAACGTAAAATGGAGACTTTTTGATGGCGATGGAATACAAAGATCATGTTAAAATGTAACGTTATTTTAAGGATCTGTTTAATATGGTCCAATTCTCCTGAGAAATTTTACTGTATGATCGAAAAATACTGTAAATATTTCGCTCTGTATTAACTGTATTCATGCGAGTTTTTCGTTTATAAACTTCAACTCAGAATTCTCATTCTCACCTCTCATATGTTGGAATTATTTGTTATAAACTACATCAAGGTTTCGTATGTTGTTAATCTTGGTTTAAGAAAAATGTCCAAGAGCACAAGTACTTGATAAAACATCGAAATTGATGTTTTTCTCCTTCTTTCTTTTCTTCTCTTAATAATTTCTAATCAAATAACACTGATTGCAATCGGCATTTTCAATTCCAGTTTTTCTCACTCACTCTCTTTCTCTCTCTCTTTCTCTTGTTTAAGTTCAAATGTCTACTTGTGCATCGTATGAGTTATGTAAATTCATAAATATAAAAATTTATTACGAGTGGATCGCAAAATGCTAATTTTTTTTTCGGTTGTTGTTGTTATTTGTTTGTTTGTTCGAGAAGATGATACTAATAATCTTTTAAATTGTTTCTGTCTTCATTTCCGTTATCAATGAAAGTGTTCATTTTTTTTTTTCTTCATCTATCTACTTCTGAAAAGTAGAATCCGTTCTTCTTCAAATGATATGATTTTGATTATTATTAATCTTATTAGTAGAGATCGATAGAGATAGTGAATAAGCAGATTTTCTTTTGCTGTTCTTTTTTTTCTCTCGTTCTCTCCGTCTTTTTTTTTTTAATAATCATATGAACGCATATAAAATGATTGTATATTTATTTCGGATGTTTATCATTCACTTATTCATTTTTTTGTTCAAATCATGATTGCATCAACTTTCTGCAATAATCAGAAGAATAAAAATAAAAATATGAGATTAAAATTTGATGATTGTTTCGAAAATAATAATAATAATGATAATAATTTGTTATTATTTTTAAAAAATCAACAACAACAACAACAAAGTAATAAAGTGTATAGAACAAAAAAGTGTGAACAACAAAATATTGCAAAAAAAAAATTATCATTAATGAACACGATTACCAATAGTGAGAATAATTATCGTTTGAAATATTATCGACATATGAACTATTGGTCATCAAATAAAAAATTTTGGATTACATATGAAAATCCAATATTTCATGATGGTTTGTAGCATATTTTTTAAAATTTTAATAATTTAGAATAGATGTGAGTAACTATGAAATTATTTTATACAGTTTCATCGTATAATATATTTTTTGAATTAATGAAGTGTCTAATTCGTAATAGTAAATATAATTCAGGTTTGAATGGAGTTTTACGTTATATAAGTTAGTATACCTTATTCTATTATTCGAGATATTGATCATTATCCTTTGATAACAGGTGACTTACACGGAAACTTAAAAGTAGAACAAGTGACAAAGTCTAGAAGGTAATAAATAGAGTAGAATATTTTTGTGAAACTTCAATTCTTCTTACGACTGAGACTAGAGTTTTCTTTTATGTTTATTCTCATGACCAAAGATGTACGCTGCTGCCAAATACCGAGAAAAGGTTTTAAATAGTATACATTATTTTCTTTGTTTGTATGTAGTATAGAGTATGTCAGTTTCTTCTTAAACCGTATGAGACAGTCTTATTCTTTTTGTTGATGTGTTATCACATTATGAAAGAAAATAATCGATGTTATGCTTATCTACGAAATTAAAAGTGTAATTTTAACTTTGTTTTTAGTCAGTTTTTATGCGCCAATGAACAATTTCTACTCGCCGCTGATAGCGGAAGAAGTTCTTAGAGTATTCCGCTGTTGTCAAAAAATGATTATCGGTGTACATGTCTGAGAACAATAAACATCACAAAAAAATAATCGAATAACTGTTTTTATACAGAAGTATTTTAAACGTATGTCGACATAATCGTTTACTATTTTGTTCGAATAGATTCTCTCTTCCTTCTAATCGAAATCGTAATGGCTCTAGACATTTCTAGGTCGTTCAGTTTTATTTAAATTTTTTCTCGTGGTATAGCTGACACTCTCTATGTTTTTGTCATTGTATTCTGATTTCCGTGTCACAGATAAGTCTCCCAGGCCTACTAGACTTAAATAATGTCTAAATGTTTGTTAAGATAAGAAAAAAACATCCGGAAAAAACTTTCTTGCGAACAGAGTGCTAATAGTCTATCGACGTAAAACAACAAGTTGCATTTTCTACGTGAAGTATTTCCGTTTGTCTACTACGTCTTAAAACCTTTTTTGTACCTGGAAAACTTTTGGATTACATATGACAATATGACAATATGATATTTCATGACAACGTGTGACGTATTTGCTAGGGTTTTTATATAAGACCGTAGATGTGGTTAACTATAAAATTATTTAACATAGTTTTACCGTGTAATGTAGTTTTCGAAGTCGATGTATTTGTAATTCTTTAGCGTGCAAAAACTACTTTTTAAAATGTAATGGATTGTGTTTGTGGTACTTCACCTGATTAAAAGTGCAACCTACACGAAGATACTTTAAGAACAAAAGTATCTAGTAGTACAATCGGATTAGGATTAAGTTTTCTTTTGTGTGGAAAAGAATGCTAGTGAGTTGATTTGTTAGACGAACACAAGGAATTTTCTCTACAATATTACACAATGAAATGTTCTTTTTCTCAATGATCTCTCCCGTAGTTACACCACTGAATATACTCTATGGAAGAGGCAGAATTCTTACAACAATAGCTATTAGTTTAAATATTACAGAAAAGAAAGCGTAGTTCATGGTACGCTATCGAGTACTATAACATGTTCATTTTAAGCGAAGGAAATACAGGGATGTAATAAACAACAATTGTGAATGCATGTATTTTTTAGTACTTACAATGGCCTAATATTGAATTGGGATTTGAATTTTACTTTCTTAATTTATGCAGATCTATAAATTTAGGGCTCAAGCTTTTTCAAAAAATTTTTCGAATTTCTCCAGTGCATGAAGTTCTCTTCATTCTCTGCAACAGTTATCCATCAATTCTTGACAGATATTCATGAAACTCACTATTTTTCGCTATGAAAACAATCAGTAATCTCAATCAAAGTTTTATCTGAGAAAAATTCAGTTTGATACTCTCAAGATGTGCCAGTAGATGATAACGAAAATCATTCCATAAGTTGAAAAGCGGGTAGAAATTGATCAAATCTGCTAAAAAAAGAAAATAGGAGTTTTGATCAATTATAACCCACCATTCGATTGATTTGATGATCTTAATTCTATTAGCAGATATAAGGATCTAAACTGAATTTCTCTCATATCAAAACTTGGCCAGAATTTTTAATAGCAAAAAATAGATATGGCTCCAAGCATCCGTTTAGAATTGTTGCTTACCTACTTTATAACTGTTTATTAGTTTAAGTATTATTTTTTAAGTTGATTTATCTAATGAAGTAATTAATTTCTATTGCTAGCATGAACTGTATTTCTGTGATTTCAATTAATTATTAGATCGTTAAATGTTCAAAAAGTATCTGTGAAACATTCCTGAAAAGTGACAGTTAAGATTGTTTTCTCGAAATTTAGTCGACATATTTTTGTTGATTATCTTTTATGATGTTCTTTTTTGCTTTGTTGATTATGTTGTATTTTTATTTTATTTTTCTCAATGTCAGAACATATTCATATAATAGTCAATTTTGTTAATCCCACATGAAATAGTGAAATGATTGACTTTCTCCTCTTTTTCTCTCTCTGTTCAATTCCAAGTTGTCATCGATGATTGAAAAGCTGAACGAAGAAGAATCATTTTTTTTTTCTTTCTTTCTATATTTTCTCTTGATCATTTCTTATTATCAATAGTTGTAACAAAAAACGACAGTAATAAATTGTATGATTCATACTTTTTTGGTTTTTTTTAGTTCCAATTGATAGGAAGAGTATGTCATTAAATAATTCCTGTTCTATAACAAGTTTTGATAAAGTCTTATATGGTGGTAATATAGATGAAGATGAATCCAACCAGCGTCTAACAAAATGTCGGTAAGGTGATAAAATAATTACAATATTAATATTTTCTATCATCCTTTTTTGTTTTTTTATTTTATTTATTAAGTGAAACATTTGATAGAGATATTCATTCACCAGCTGATTCAACTGACAGTGGAATTCAAATGGCATTTAATGACGATAACGAATCAAAACCACGAGCACAATTATTACGAGTAAATATTTATAGACAAATAAATGATAAAGAAGGATTATTGTTCGTTTCTATTCTAGAATGATGAATCTTTAGCTTTACCCAAAGGTTGGGAACGTTTTGAAGGTAATCTGATTTAAGTTGATTTAGTTATTTTACTAAATAATTACTTTATTTTTGTTTTCTAATTAGACGACGAAGGTGTTTATTACTGGCAAAAACGAACAGGTCTGGTAACACGAACGCCGCCCGATGCCACGTTTACTCAGTCACCAACACCCACATTATCCTCATCATCATCAAACGAAACATGCTTTGAGACTGGATCATTGTTATATGAAAGCCAATCGAATTTATCAACGAAGGTAAAAAAATTAGAAGAATATATTTGGAGTCATTTCTTGAAATTTTTTTTGTAGAAGACTGACGATGAAAATGATAGTAAAACGTTGTTGACATCTGCCACGAACGAAGAAGGAGAAGTGCAACAACAACAACAACAACATCGATTTTATGTACGATCATTAGGATGGACAAAAATAGCTGAAGAAGAGTTAACCACTGAGCGGAGTAGTCGCGCAGTGAATAAATGTATATATGAGTTGACAAGGGGTATTAACGATGCCATTGGACGATGGGGAGAAGGAAAAGATCTTTATATGGATATTAATAAAACCGATTTGTTATTAATTGATCCAACGGAAATGACCATATTACATAAACAAGCAATCCCATCGATAAGAGTGTGGGGAGTAGGACGAGAGAATTCAAGGTAATTATACAGTCTGCTGTAAAAAATCTTAAAAAAACCTTTATTCTACTTAATTTTTTTATTACCAGAGATTTTGCCTACGTTGCAAAAGATAAAGGAACACGAATTTATATGTGTCATGTATTTCGTTGTGATAATATTCCTGCTCGAACAATTGCAAATACATTACGTGATATATGTCGAAATTTAATGATTGAACGTGGTTTATTAACTACAACAACGGAAATTAGTAGTACCGATGCACAAAAAAGGTATACAAAACTTTATCAAAAGATGCATGCATGTACTGGAAACATTGAGCAATAGAGAAAGGCAAAATACCTAAATGAGTTTAAAAGAGACAATCATGCTGATGGTGATGAGTTTTATTTATGTTTTGTTTTTATTAAAGGCCTACATCATTTCCAGAATCTATACGACATAATATTCAAACCAGTAAGTAAACTTGATCGATATCTGAGGCGGAATTACATCAAAAATTGTTTTAGCTGTTTCGTTTCCTACTCCAATGGAAGAACCTAAAAAATTATTACAATGTACATATCTTGGATGTACCTATGTGGATAAACCCGGAGGTTAGTTGTTGAATTTCTTTAAAGTTTTATTTACTCAATTTTCTTTTTCAAAGGAATGGACATTCTGAGACCGGCAATAGATAAAGTAGCAACAACGGTACCAAAAGAAAAATGGCTGGTTGTAAATGTAAATGTATCACCATCAACTATCACAATCTGTCATGATAATGTAAGAATAGATAAAGAGACATATTTATTGCAGTTCTACGATAGAGTGACTGTTCTTATTTACAGGAAAATAATGAACAAATTTTTGAATGTCGTATCAGATATTTATCGTTTATGGGAGCTGGAATGGATCCAAAGTAAAATTTGCTTGCCTATTTAATTTTATTAACATTTTGAAATATTTCTTATTGTAGATGTTTTGGTATTATTATACATTGTGCCGATAATACATTTAAGTGTCATGTTTTTCAATGTGAACCATCGTGTGCTCAGTTGTGTAAGACAATTGAAGCAGCTTGTAAAGTAAGTGAATGGAAATATTTAGAATACAATATATAAATGAGTTATATTATTTTAGTTACGTTATCAAAAATGTATAGATGCTCATCCACAAGCCGCAAAACAAATTGAACAAACAAAGGTTAACTATCTTACATTGATATCGATTTAGTAATGCATACACTTTTCCTTATGTTTCTTTTAGTCATATGGAGCACAAATAAAAAGTCTCGTTGATTCATTTTGGTATGGCAGACGTGAAATTCATTAACTCTTTTTATTAATTTTTGTTTTTGTATCTTTTATTACTGTTCGTAGAACGATAGAAAGAGATTTAGTGTTTGTTTTTTTCTAATTATTCGTAGTCATAAAATAACTAATCATGCATTGATTTTTTATTCGTTTCTGACTCACTATGTATAATGAATCTCTTCATACTGTTTTGTGTGAATGTGCCCCGTTTCGAGTTTACTCACATAAATTATTATTCTTTTGTAAAAAAAATAAACAAAAGAACAACTTTTTCTCTTGTATCATTTAAATTTATTGTTTATTTCTTTTTATTGACAATCATCAATACTCGTTAATTTTTTTTTTCTCGAATTAAATATTTAAATAAAAACATCGTCAGATGATTTTTATATTTTTGAGGATGTTTTTTTGTATCTATCAATATTTGTATATTCATAGTATTATCATGAGAGAATAAATAAAACAGTATTTAAAACATTCTCAATGATCAAAGACATTTCAAGACGTTTTCTTTGATAATATATAAATGATTTTCTGTAATAGGATACAAAACTATAAGGATTAATTTGTATTTCAAAATATCCTCTCCATTATTTGATAGTATTACTGACTTCTATTAATCGTCATTTGTATACTAAAGGACACGAAATTTGCTATAATTATAAAGTTTAAATTACATCAGCTTGAAAAGTTATTTCTTATGAAGATTTGTGTCTTCTATTTTTTAAGATATCTCACAAACAATTCATCGCATAGAAACTCGAATGCGAAAATTAGAGCTAAAAAGATTTTTCATTTTATTCTAGTATTCAAAATTAGATTTTATTCATTCCTTTTCAGAAATGAATATTGCATAAACAACGGCGAGAATAAATTGTCGTAATGGAGTCAATGTTGATAGATACTTTAGGTATGACGAAGTATTACCAAAATCCCTTGTTTATTTTACCTTTTTTTGTTTTGTTATTTTAATAGCGAGTAAAGGTACCGTTTATTCACACCAACCGTTGGAAAGCACACATATTGAGAATAACAACAATATTAGCAGTCGCTTTCATTCACCGTCAGTGCGAGTAAGATTTTGAATTGTTAAAAAAATTTTGAATTGTTTTAACTTATACCTTTTTGTATTTTAGTCGTCACGAAATGAATCTCCCGAATTGTCGGCACCATTCATGAAAAGTCTTCATAATGCTACTAAACGTAAATAATTTGAGGTAAGTGTGTTTTTGAGAGAAAAATAAATTTTCTATTGTATTTTTTTAGCTGAACAAACGTTATACGCAACGTATGCTCAAACATTAGCCGAAACAGAAATTACACAAGATTGGAATTCATGGATCGAAACAATGGCAATTAATTGTCGAAATTGTTGTTCTGAAGCAGAAATTATCGGTCCACAAGTATATCGTACAACAAAGTTTAGTCAATCAGATCGTACACTTCGATTATTACAAAAAGAACGTGATAGTTGGATATTATGGTCACGTGCACGTGATACACTAAATAATACTCAACATGATTTACCTAATGTGGTAAGTTAAAATTAAACTTTTTATTGTATAATATTCAATCTGTTTGTTTAGATTCCAAATAGTAGTGATCGATTAATTGTCGAACATCATCTATTATTAAATCCTCATATGCGTATGGCAAAAGCTGTACTATCATGGTTACATTCAACAAAATTAGATGAACAATATCAAACATCATTAAAAATGTCAATGTCCAAATTAGAACCAAAGCGATTTTATTGGTATGAACATCTAAAAATAAAACAATAGAAATTCATCATTAACTTTTGTTTTTTGTATGTTTTTTCTCAGGGAAAAAACGAGACATTTTTTAAAGGCATCGTATAATGAGAATACATCAAATCCCTATGTTACTGCCTTAGTAAGTGCAAAATTCTTTTTTTAATAACATGTCGTTTAACAATAATTTCTCGTAGGATTTTGATGCACCACATAAGCAAAAACGTCGTCTATGCGATAATGATGAACAAGAAGAAAATGATCTATTACAAATTGTATTTTGGTTATTAAGAGTTGGAGAATATTCAAAAGTATTGTCATTTACACTTAATTTGAACATTTAGTTATGTACCCTTGATATTTTAGGCTAAAAATTTGTGTAAATCGACTGGATATCATTGGTTAGCAGCCATATTATGTGCAAATGAATTATATCATGATGAAAATTATTATTGTTCAGAATCATCAAAAATTATTTATCCTGTTGAAGGTAATCAACGGCGAATACAATGGATTGAAACAATGTATCAATTATGTGCAGATGTAAGTAATAATTGACTTTTAAAAAGATGAAAATTTTTTTATTTGATTTATTGAATTTCTATTGTATGATGAAATATTGTTTCAAATGTCCTAACCTATGGTGCGAAAGTCTTGTCCCAAAATGTTCCTTCATTTTTCGATCAATTATTAGCAATTATTGAGAGTCAAAAGCAGTCAATTAGAAAATGACGAGTATTTGTTCAATGTTTTATTTTTAACTAAAACGATTTTTTTCTTAATACTTTTGTAAGTCTTTATTTTTCTCTCTTTTTATACTTTAATTTATTTTTAATAGTATCTCGTCAAAGTATAATTCTAACATTCATTCTAATAACAACTTTATCAACAAACACTCTTATTAATTTCACTCTTATTAATTCTTATATCGTTTATTTTTTATTGAATTTGTTTTTATGGAAAAAAGATCCTCATCAAAAACAGAAAATTTTCCTAGTAATTGAGTGTGTTGAATACGAAAAAGCACTTTCTCACGGCTCTAAATGAATTTTATTTTTTTTCTTCACATTCATATGAATGGGATTATACTATGTCACTTAGAAGAATAGCAGAAGTTAGTATATATAGGACGAATAAATTGAGAAATAATTACTTTCTACACTAACCATTCCCGTAAAATTTTCCCTATAAAAATAATTCCAGTGCGGCACTGTCAGTGCGCATGCCGTGCCATCGGTCACTGGCACTGGCTGGCACCGATGTACGCCGTGTCCAGCAAGTGCCAACTGGCAACCGTGCGTACCAGTGCCGATATATTTCTGCCCAAAAAGTGCCGCACTGAAATTTATTTAATCAATTTAAAATTAGTTTTTTATTATAGTTGTTTATGCTGAATTTTGTATTAGAATGCGGCACTGATCAGTACCACATCGACATGCCAAAACCATGCGACATTGGCTCGGCACTTCTCTTATGAGAAGGAAAATATGAAGTCAGAAAGATATTCGAAATATTAGAAGTAGACTGTGATGTTAATATAGACAGAAATTGACAAAGCAAAATGGTGATGGAAAACAAAACTTCGGCACTGGTGCGCATCGGTGTGTGCATTCTTTCTGGGCATCGGTGCCCAGAAAAAAAATTATCAACTTACCTATTCCTGTTATCATTTATGCCCATTTTTGCCATTTTTACTTTCACCGTTCTCATTTTTCGGTTTAACTCAGGCATATGGTCTTCGCCAATTCATACGCCAACTCCGCTCTTGACAGGAGAAATATTAGCAAATAAATTATTGGCTATATTCAAAGATGATTTGCTAGCGCAATCAAGTTGGTTGGATGAGAAAAAATAAATAAAATTCACGAACTAATAGTATTTTATAATAATGCAGAAATAACTTTCTCGTACTAAACGCATTTTTAAAAAATGTAATAAATGAAAAAAAGTCGTCTGGACAAAAGTCTATTGTTCACTTGTTTTTCGATCCAGATGTTACAAATTAAAGAACTAATATATAAAATAACTTGCCAAATGCAAGATAAATGGCCAAATTATAGTAACATACGTCATTATCAGATTAGACGTTTAACTCCTTTTTACCTTGTCCTCCATCATTTTAAAACATAAAATAAAATCTAGTTCATCGACAAGCTTTTTATTATTTCAAAATTATAGGTACGATTGAAATTATATGAACGTGCCATCTATGGTTTATTATGTGGTCGTATTGATGCAATATTACCCGTTTGTAAAACATATGAAGATTATTTATGGGCTTATATTTCATGTTATATTGAACAAGAAATACATTATATTTTAGTGTAAGTTATTTTTAACTGTTCTATATCGTCTCTTATTTAATTATTATTTAGAACTGCTCATCAACATGAATTAACTGATGATGAAAAACGTCGTATTCTTGATACAACATCATGTTTATCAATTACCATGATATTCGATGAAATATTATCAAATTCTCCAAAATCTATTCAAAATGAATCATTAACACAATTTAATCAAATTCAAAAGTTTATTATTCTTGATGATTATGATCAATTGTTACAAACTATCTTAACTATTATACGTACAAATAATTATGATGGATCATTATTAAGATTTGCTACACATGTTTGCTTATTTTTATTTGATCATTCTAAAGAACGTACAACATTTGATCAGGTAGATAAATTGAATTTTAGAAAAAAAAAAAATTTATTTATTTATTTTTTTCTTATTATTATTTAGAAATGGATATCAGAAATAATTGGCGCATATATTCATCATCTTATCGAATTAGCATTGAAAGATTTTGTCTGTTATTATATATCAAAATTACCAACAAATATTCAAAGTATAATACATTTCATAAAATATTTGTTTATATTTGAAAACTAGTAATATTAAATATTTCTAGTAACAACTATGGCTGCATTTTTGGATACATTAATGAATCGAAATGAAAAAGAATATTATTTAAAACAAGCGTTTACATTTAAAATTGATATTGATGCATCATTAATCATCTTAGCAAATAAATATCGACAACAAACATTTATTCAACAAACACTCGATTATTCTACTTACAATAATAATGATAATGAATGTATTATATCAGCAAGTTCAATTCAACTAGATGAAGTAGATCATATTCTTATTATATATTTTCTAATTAGATCATTGTTTATATTCTATCTATTGTATTTTTGTTTTTAGAATGATTTAAAACAACTTGAAGTATTAAAATTATTAACAACATTTTTATCTGTACAAACATTAGAAGGTTTAAGATATTCAAATCGAATATGTCGTTCTTATCTAAATGAAACAAAATATGATGGTATTCGAACTGCATTATCTTATTTTCCACATGATATTCATTTGGTACGATTCTTTTATTTTTCAATTATATTGTTTAAAACTATTGAAATATTAATTGATTCATTCATTTCAATTTTAGATGGATACTATAAATAACGTTCACCAAAAATCATCTGACGATATTCGAGAGTTTAAATCATTTGGAACATTTATCGTATGTATCATTTTTTTTCTCTACTAAAAACATATTCAAATTTGATTATCTATTTAGACTGCTCTCGAAGCGATTAATCGTTGGTCAGAACTACATCAAAAACAACAAGTGCGAAATGAATCTTTATCAATTGATTTGACAATGGATGACGATGACGATAATAATGCACTTGATAGATCCTATTTAAATATAGTTGTTAAGGCATGTTATGATGTATTAGATTTTTCACAAGGATTTATGAATGATATTCAAGTATGTTAATAAATATACTTTTTTTGATTACAAAAAAAAATATTTATTTTCACTGTGATATATTTTGTAGACTGATAGTCATAACGATGAAAGTCGAACAAATGAAATGTTAATATTACGTCAGAAATGTGTATCAATGATAGCGTGTACACTATTTCGTATATTTGATTTAAGTAAAGAACATCGACAATCAACTCAATTACTCATGTTTTTATCTGATGGTAATAAGAAATTGTATTCGGTAAGTGATTTTTTTTTTTTTATCAAATCTTTCCTTTCTGAAAATAAGTATTTATTTTTATTTTAGTTATTTCCAAAAGAAGCGCTTACATCCATCCTGTTATTTACTGAACGTGCATCTGAATTATGTCTAAACAAATACAATGAAACAATTAGCTTTGAATAAAAGTGATTTTTTTGTAATTTTTCTGTGTATTTGTTGGTGTTTTTTTTTTTCATTTTTTGTATGGTACAACTCGTACACCTGATACTTTTTTTTTCTGCATTAAAATATAGGAAATTGTAGTCATGACTTTATTTTTGTTGAGTATTCAGATGAAATATAAAATGCCCGATGTTGAATGTTGAGTTACTACTCGTTCTTAATTATTCAAAACTCGAGAAAGAATAATTCTAATTCTAAAAATGGTTTTTATTTCTGTGGACACTTTTATAGATAAATTTTAATTCAGAAACTTTGCTCGAAAACAATGAATAAGACACTAGGTAGCAGTATATATATTATAGAGAATGTACAGACCTTCGTCAGAGAATGTGTAAAACAAATAAAAAAAAGATTTTAACAATATGTTGAAAGGCTTTACAAAAATTTAACGATCCTGGTAGTAATTGGTCTTCGAAATCAAATTTTTCTTACTAAAATTTTTTTCAAGATGCAAAAGGAAACTTCAGCTACACTATTGTCCTATGTCTTCTACAAAAGCTTCCAAAAGCGCAGAAATCATTGCTGGTGTATCAGTGTTTATATATTCAAAACTGTTTATTGTTCTCCTTTCAGCTTAAGTAGCGATGCTTGTAAAGCACAAGGAATATTTTTATTAAATGGCATAACAGATTTTCATGAGGTGCATTTTCTTATGCTAGATAGTTCTGGTGTATTATCGAACAAAATAGGAAAATATCATATCCAGGTTTATTTGTAGAAATTATGTGCTGGAATCGAAATTATTGGGAGTGATATTTTTTATGCCTTTCCCTTTCTTCTCGCAAAGAGCAATGAACATATGTGTATACAGGTGTGTGGAAACATAGATAGAAGAGAATACAAGTTTCTGACTCTCTCTTTGATCTAAATTAAATTCCTTCCGTAAATTCGGTAACTTACTATAATTTTTGAAAATAAAGATCATACTGAGATTTTCGGTAGAATGCTTACAGCCTTCAATTCTCTATCAAATGAGATATTGCATGAACTTTTTCGTTGAGTCATTATTTTTCTAATGGATTAGGGATCGAGAGTAGGCTAAATTAATGTTAATTAGCATTAATTAGTCACTAAAAGAATGAAAAGAACATAAATGTTTACATTATTTCTCCTAATAAATTCTTCACACATAAAAATCAAATTTTTATGATGAATGGATAAGTCTGGAAAGTTTTTAATAATAGCTTTGTGCTAAAAATTTAACAACATTTTTGTCAGTAATTAATTTTTTTCCCAGCCATACAATTCTAGTAGGCCGGAAAAACTTTCAGAAATATTGTTAAAATCTTCTTTCTATTTATTTTATACATTTTCCATTGAAGTTTAAAGTCTATTTTGTACTTTTGTAATTTCTTTGGAGATTCTACAGATTTTCCGTTAACTCTTTGTCTATTCTGTACTTTCTCCATAACATATATAATAATAATATGACAAATAAAAATAGTTAAAAATAATCGACGTTCAACTTTTCTCTAGCTATGTTAATGTAAATAACCATGTTTGACTAATAACTCATTAATAATATCATTCATTTTCACTCGGTCGTATTATAATGATTTTAAAATTAGTTTAATGTTTATAAAAGAAAAAGGTAGAAAGACAAAACTTATAATTTTAATTGATTATTTTGGTTAAGATTTAATTTCAAAAAAAGAAATCAACGCAGATTTTATTCGTATCCTACTATTAGTGTGCTCAAAGTTTCATGGCGTCTCGCTGAATTTCAATCAGATAAATCTAAATTCAATTATGATTTTGTACTAAGCAAGAAGAAAGACGATGGATTTTGTGCGCTCTCTAATGCCAGTAACCTTAACAAAAGGATAGAAGTTCGTCGTATCATTATTCAACAGCTTCTTGCTGGCTAATCAACCTTGGCATGTATTGTACTCATGCACTAAATAAAGAATGATTTCAAGATAAATTTAGAAATATTTGTGACAAAATATATAAATGAAAGAAAAACAAACTTACAAGTGGTTGTTCAGCCATTCACTGTCGTCACAAATGTTTTTAAATTTATCTTGAAATTAAAAACATCCCATAACAAATACGTCGATATAGAATGATTGTTTTCAGAGCATAAAATAAAATTAAGATTAGATGATGTATTTCAACACTGGCTACGAAACTTCAAAATTTGTTTAAGAAATTATTTTTCCACGTCAAGTCTGTTTTGTATTAATACAACATGTATTTTCATCGGTACATCCAAGAAAACATAAAAAAGATCAAAACATTGAACAATAAAAATGAGTAATAATATCACAACATCGTTTGTCCGATAATAGATGACTAAATTGACTGTTCTTCAAAAGGATGGGTGATAAAAACAAACAACAAAAAATAAAAAAACATTATAATAAAAATAACAAATAAAATGGTACGAATATGTGTTATTTTTGACTATCTGATATATTTGACAAAATACAATCGTAGGCGTGAATAATAATAAATAAAACGAGATCATTCTATTAATCTCGTTTAAATCATATTGATAATATAAAAAAAATATTTTTTTTTCAAAATCAAATATGAGATTAAAATATAGGTTGATACAGACAACATAGATAAAAGAATCAATGTTGGACAATTTGGGTTATTTGCTTAGCTAACGTTCGAATATTTGAGCCGAGTAAAAATGTGCGATGATCACCGGATGTTATAATGACTTGAACGGGTTTTTCTGACACCTAAAAGAGAAATATGAGAATATTAAAACTATTCATCTATACTAACAGCAAGATATCAATTTTGAAAACACTATTTATCTTACTTGATCAAGACCATAATCTTCTCCAATTGTTTCGCTATATTCTGAACTTATTTTTACACGAAATAATGTTATTGGACAATCAATTTTTCTTGATGGTATATATTTGTGAGCTGCAAATAATTTATTATGAAATTTGTGTCCAGCTAATCGTAAATTATCTTTTCCGAAATGTAGAATATTATCTAATTGTTCAGCAGCAAACGTTAAACGATCTTCATATGATGGTAATGATGATAGTTCAAATAATATCTAAGAAATAAAAAAAATAATTGAGAATATGATATAAATGAATTGTTTAGAAAATGTCATACTTTTTTCTGATCTAAATTAGGTAAAAATTGTTGCATATAGAAATATAAAACTGCAGCTTCTGCTTGATTTATTTCTGCAAATTTTGCATGATAATTTTTTGTATGTGCAGCAACATAAGAATGAGAACCATCTAACAATAATAAATGTTTGATACTATTGTGAGATAACTGTAAAGCGATTTCAAATGCAATACAAGCACCCAATGAATAACCAGCGAGAGATAATGGACCATCTGGTTGTATTTCACGAATTTTCTAAAAAAGCAAAAGTATATGTAGATACATTTGAGTCTGAAGGAAAAGACATTGAACCTGTTACCTTTATGTAGTATGAAGCTGTATGTTCAATAAATTCATCGGGTACATCTTGTGTACATTGTAGACCGTAAACTGGAAATGGTAAACATTTTGCTAGTTCGCTTAGCATCATCACATGTCCTTCAACTGGATGAATAATAAATAATCTTGTCGTATTATCATTTTTCTTGTCTTTTGTACAATAATCATTTAATTCTACAACAGTATTCTGTGGTAATAGAGTATCTAATGTATTACTGAAGATTTTTTCTTCTGTTGAAACAGTTATTTTCTGTTCTTTCTTAGAATCAATTTCTTTTAATTCTTTAACTGTTAATTGTTGAATATCTTTCGAATGAGTAATTGTATATTGAAAATTTTGTTCGAGTAATTGTTTTATTTCAACACTTCCCAGAGAATCAAGACCCAAATCGGATAATGTACTATTATTATTCATTGTATTTGCATCTTTAATACCTAATATATGGGCAATTGTTTCCAACAAACTTGTTGTAACAATTGATGTTTTTTGTACTTTTTCAGCTAATACATAACTTGACACAACTGCTGATTTAATCTCGTTTTGTTGTTGCTGTAGAAATATATCTAATGTATTTAAGCATGAAATCATACGTTGTGGTACAGTACCACCGATGACAGTATCATTATTTCCTAAATTTTCAATCACCATGCCAACATCACCAATAGCACCCCATTGTATGGCCAATGCTTAAATAACACAAAAACAAAATAAGTCATTCTAAGATTAAATATTAAAAAAAAAGTCTATAAAGTGTGATTATGAATAATACCTGGTAATCCATCTTGTCGACGTTTTTCGCAAATACGTTCCATTGTTGAGTTAGCAAAACCATAGTTTGTTTGACCTGCATTTCCTCGACCACAACTGATAGATGAAAATACAACAAAATAATCTAATGATTGAGAACATTTTTCACGTGTTACACTATCCAAACACATTGTACCATGATATTTAATATCAATAACTTGTTGAAATTTTTGTACATCTAAATTTTCTAATAAACCATCTTGTAAAATTGCTGCCAAATGGAATATACCTCCAACCGGAGCCATTTTTTCGTGAGCATAATCAATTAATGCATGACATTGTTTATTATTTGTTGGATCATGTTTTGATATATAAATATTTGTTTCAAAAAAAATTTCTAGATATTTTATTTTTTTCATTTGATAGCCATTGCGTATCCCTGTTCGAGATGATAAAATGAGATTTTTTACACCACGTTCAACAAGCCTAAAAACAAAACAAAAAGAATTTATATATTATAAATATCATTCATATTTTAATTGTTCACTTTTTACCATTGTGCAAGTTCTAATCCAAAACCTCCGAGACCTCCTGTAATTATATAAGTTTTTTGCGGTGAAAACCATGTCTTTCGTATTGCACGTATGCGAGGATTCAATTCATTGTAGACCTAATATAAATAATAAAAATAGACTAGAAAATCGATATCTATAGATAAACTATATTTATATACTTTGATAACAACTTTTCCAACATGTTTTCCTTGTGCCATGTATCGAAATGCTTGTTCAATATTATTTGAATCAAATATATTTGCTGCTAGTGGACGAACAACATTTGAATCAATTCCACCTTGTACAAGATCATAGACACGTTCCCAATCAAGATTTGATGTATCATCATTATTAGAAAATAAAGCATCCAATAATATTCCATGAAAACTGGTATTTTTTAAAAATATTGACATTCCTAATGGATTATTTTGTGATAAATCAAATTTACCAATTTCAAGAAATCGTCCATGTTGAGCTAATAAACGAACGGACGCTTGTAATTTATCTTCGGATAATGAATTTAATATAACATCAACACCTTTAAACACACAAAAAAATAATAATAGAAATATAGAGTCATAATGTTGATGAGAGAGTTATTAAACCTTTTCCATGTGTTGAATATCTTATTTGTTGTTCAAATGTTAAATCACGTGAATTTGCTATATGTTCATCAGTCAATTGTGGAAATAATTTTTTTAAATAATCACGTTTTTCTTTTGAACCAACAGTGGTAAATACTCGACAATTCATACTATAAGCAATGGCTATAGCAGCTTGACCAACTCCTCCGGTGCTAAAATAGAGAACAAAAAAGATTATTTATATAAAAATGTACACAATCACTGTGTTACCCTGCATGAACTAAAACTGTTTCACCATGTTTTAGTTGTCCTCGTATAATCAATGCGTAATAAGCTGTCGAATAGACTACGGGAATTGTTGCTGCTTGTTCTAATGACCATGTCTCTGGAACACGCCATGTATAACGACGATCAATTTCTACTTTTGTTGCTAAACCTTTTGCTGATAATAGACCCATAATTCGGTGACCAGAAGAATCTATACCCGCAAATTCCATTCCCAATAGGCAATCATGCATTTTTAAATAACCTAAAAAAATGAAAAAAAAAACACATAATTTATCATTATCTTTATCAATTTCTATATGTTTACCTGGAATAGCATCTGGACTCAATTTTCCTGTTGCTAACATGATATCACGAAAATTGAGTGATGCATAATGAACCGTACATGTATCATATTTTATTGAATTTATTATTGTTGGAGATTGAATCCACATTAAACTTGACAAATCACCACGATTCAATACATTGACATGTGCAAAATCTGTTTCATTCCAATTTGATTCTAAATCAAATAAATTTTAAGTGAATATCAAAAATATTTTTATATTACACTCATTGTACCTCTTTTCATTTCTGAATGAATATAGGAGCCCCATGAATTATTACAATAAACATTTACAGCAAGATCTTTAGCTTGTAATTCATCCCAGAGACAATCAAATGATATAGTATCGTTTACATCGGTTTGAATATGAACACATCTAAAATCATATTAAAAATTACTTAGTTCATTTATCTACTTTCTTTTTAAGAAATTACTTGACCAAACTTACCTAGCATTCTCTCCACCTGGTTCTCTTCTTACACAATTAAAAAATCCCATAATTCCATTCTCTTGTTTTGTTGATATAAGCCAAAAACGTTTCTTTCTCTTCATACTTGTTTTAACCATTTCAATCCATGAATAATCTGTTTTATCTAAATTAATTTTAATATCTTCATTTTCATCCTCTTCAATATTAACAGTTTCATTATTCGTTGTTTTTAATAATTGTTGTTGATTTGTTCGATACAAAAATAGACTTGAGAATAAATTATCTGTTTTATGAGAAAGAAGAGTATATTTTTGATTTTTTTCAAATATTGTTTTCAAATAATATGTATCACCCATAATATAGGATTGTCGATTAACAAATTTCAATAAACTATTTTGTTCAGTATATGTTAATAAAAATAGAAAACTATTTTGTTTAGATAATTTTATTAATTGATTTAAAAATATATCTGGTTCATTTATACGAAATGTAAATGTATTTAAAATAATTAAATCATATTGTTCAAGAGGAGTTTTAGGTAATTTTTCTTGTGAATAATCCCAATTAAAAATTTGAATATTTTCAGATAATTGAGAATTAGAATTATTATCATTTGTGATTAGTGTATAATCAATTGTTTTTAACGATGTTTGTTGAGAATAATAATCATAGATTTTTTGAGTTATATCATTGTTATTAGAATAACTAAATTCGCATATAGATAAAGATGATAATAATGGTGATATATTGTCTAATACAGTTTGTAAACATGAACAAAAACATGTATGATCAATTAAATTTCGAAATAAAATATCATTAGTAATTAATTGTTGATTTTTTGCTAAATAATCATTCATAGAGGTTTCAGTCGATACAGAATTGGGTTGTTGTTTTAATTCTTGTAATAAATTGTATATATTTTTTCTAGAATTCTCATTTTCATCTAATGAATATACAGTATCTCCATTTGACAATGTATTGGCCCTCTGTGATAGAATACTTTCTGCTAGTTGTTCACATTTATGAAAATATGTGTCTAGATCATTTGTTAATTTGATATTTGTTTCATTATAGGGTACAAATGTCATTGTTTCTAAGACAGGTTCTTGTTGTAAATATTTTTTTGTTGTACTTGTTGAATGTAAACCAAATAATTCAATACCACCACTAAAACATAATTGATTCCAATGATCAACATAAACTGGACACGTTTGTTCACCATTTTCATTGTTTGTTTCAATTTCTTGCATATGTTTATGAGGATCAATTCTCAATGATTCTATTCTTGTAGGTAATTGTAAACCATTTGTGGTAATTAAATGTACTTGTAACATTGTATCCAGATAGGATATCCATTCATTATTCCATTTTAATGTACCACATATACCATCAAGTTTCATTTGTTTAATACCACGAAATAGACCCTGATACTCGTAACCTCGTAAATTAAAATCACGATAAATTTCATTTGAATTTAAGTATGTAGTTGTCGCTGTTGTTGATTGATTTTGTTTGACAAGATTATCTTTAATATTTTGCATTTTTAATACAGATTCTTTAGTAGATGATATTTTTCCGGTAACAACAGTTGAATTATTTTCGATTATTTCAAATTGTCCACTTGTCGGAAGTAGACTAACGTAAAATATTGTTTTATTTGTACGATTACACATTGTGGCACGATGAATTTGAATATTTTCAAATACGACAGGTAAATCATGATACGGTTGATTATAAAATGTTGCTAATGTTTTCCATGCAAGAAATAGATAACCAGTAGCAGGAAATAAACATCTTCCATCGATTTGATGACCCAGCACAAATGAATAGGCTGTTTGTTCACCTGATGATGAGGAAGGTGATGGTGATGCTGCTGATAGATCAATTTCATATTTTAATTTTGACTGATTACTCGATTTGACCAACATATCAAAGGTTGGTATTTGCCATTCTTGTGAATGGTCCCATTGAGAAGAAATAAGAGAAGATATAAATGGAACGTTGACTGGTACTGGATATTGAACTTTAGAGTAATAATTCATTATATCCATATTAATGCCTTCATTATATAGTTTACCTAAAATATATACCAACAAAATATATATAAGACAGCAAGGAAAACAAGAGGGTAATTATGTTCTGAAAGCTGCTAGTACTTAAAAAAATTAAAATATTCACCAATATTCGTGTAAAAATAATCAATATGATCATGATTATTTCCTTTTTTCATAAAGTTGATATGTGTACAATCGGGACTTAGTGAACGTTTTAGTATTGCTAACAGCAAACAATGTGGTGCAAGCTGAAAAAGAACAGTAAAAAACATGAATAAATTATAAGAAATTATCTCACATGTACTATTATACCTCGATTGTTATTGCGTTCGAAGGAACATGATGTAATGCTTCTTGAAATAATACTGGATTACACAAATTATTTACATGATAATCAGCAGACGAATATAAAGCTAATTCATCATTCCAACGTTTTTCTGGTACACTCGATGATATCCAGCGCTCGCTACGTTTTTTTGGTTCTGTAATAATAGTTTCTAAATATTTTTTCAATAATGGAGCTAATTTGACCATATAATGTGAGTGAAACGCAACACCAGATGTTTGTACTGCACGAGCAAATATATCTTTCTCTTTTAACTCTTCAACAAAACGGTCAACGCTCTCTTTGGGACCTGATACTGTTACTGTGTCTTTGGCATTATGACATGCAGGCACAACATCTTTTGGACATATTTCACCACATTTATCCCACGATAGTCCAACGGCAGCCATTGCGCCTTGAAAATAAATAAACAAACAAACGTTTTTAAAAAATCATGAAGACATACACTTTGTATTCACCTGGAGGTAAAGAAGCTTCCTGGATACATTTACCACGCCAGAAGGCTGCCAAGACCGTTTGCTCAGCAGTAAAACAATTATCAGCATATGAACAACCTGGAAAAAAAAGGCAATTGATTCATACTAGTTTTAATAACCGTTTAAAATACATACCTAATTCACCAACACTGTGTCCGATGATGCCATCGGGCTGGATGCCTAATTGTTTAAGACAATCGACCAATGCAACCTTCACAAAAAAACTCACCACGTCACATAATTCAATATCTATCAATCATTTACTCACTTGTATTGCAGCAATTGCGACAAAATTATTTATTGTTTTATCGTATTCAACTTCATCACCAGTTTCAATTAATTTACATAAATCTATTCCATACTGTTCCAAGACTCGCGAAGATTTTTCAATTGATTGTCGAAAATGTTTTACTTTCATTAATTCTTTGCCCATGCCAGGCCATTGTGTACCCATACCAGAAAAAATATAGTAAATCGGTCGCCTTTCGCTTAAACATTTCTATAAAAAGACGATGTCAGAATAGATTGTAAACATAACACGATGAATATTCCTCCTTACTTTAATTGTTACTGTCGGATTTGACGTGTTCAATAAACAGAAACCTCGATAAGGCATTGTATGTGGCGGATGAGTAGAATATTCTTCCAATAATGCTTGTAATTCAATATTGTGCTGATTTTCTTTCAGACAATTCAAGATCGTCTCACAACCCTGTTCTGTTCTTGCACAAATAGTTGCTAAGCGTTTTTCTTGACGAGAATCATTTTTAGGATAACTAATATTTCTATTTGCTTTTAAAACAGCATGAGCATTTGAGCCACCGAATCCAAATGAGTTAATTGCTAAGAAATCACCATTCAATCTAAAACAACAGATATATAATATGTAGAAAATTAGTTTTAACAAGTTTTACGAAAAAGTTTTAATTGAAAAGTGATTTTCATAAGTATAGCAAAAATGAAGATTACGTACTTCGTTTTTTCTGTTATAACTTGTAAACGTCCATCCGTTAAGCCAGATATGTCAGGATTTGGACTGTTAAAGTGCAAATTGCCTTAAAGACAAAAAATGTTATGCATAAAGCAATAAGCAAATTTAAACAACCATTCCCTACCTGGTATGTAGCCACGTTGAATTGAAATTAATAATTTTGCCAATGCAGCAATACCACTAGCTGGCTCAGGATGTCCCATATTTGACTTTGTTGATCCAATTAATAATGGTCCATCACGCTTATTACAAAATACATTTGTTATCGAATTCATTTCTTGCGGATCACCTGGAAAGGACTAATATTGTTTAAAAACTAGTCTAATAAATATCACGTACTTATTACGAACCCGCTTTGGTACCAGTGCCATGAGCTTCCACATATACAATCATTCTCGGATCCAAATTTATTTCTTTATAAATATCTTCAAGTAATCGCTGCTGCACATGACCACTTGGAAATGTGATACCTTCTTTCTTGAAACCATCTGTATTCGTTTTTGAATGTAATAATGTTGCATAAAACCGTTTACTATCATAACGCTTTTGAATATAGATAATCCCAACTGTTTCACTCCTCACATAACCACTGCCAGTTGAATCAAAGGCACGACATGCACCATCTGCAGATAACATCTGTAATTTTAAAAATTGTAACGATGTTTGTGGACGAAAACATAAATTTACACCACCAATAATAGCTGAATCGCATCCACCCGTACGCAATGAATTTAATGCACAATCAAGTGCAATCAAACTAGATGAACAAGCCGTCTACAATATACAAAAATGATTCCATTGAGCTATGAAAAATTTTGTTAGTAACTGATGCCATATCATCAATCCGAATCACGTATTAAGCGAATAACTTACATCAACGGTATAACTAGGACCTACAAAATAGACCAAAGCAATGATACCTTTTTATTGTTTCTGAACACTTTTCATATATTACCTTTAAAATCAAAAAAATATGATAATCGATTTGCAAACATCGAAGTTGCACATCCTGTCATCGAATAACCTTCTAAAGTTTCTGGATCATTTGAAAACGCATTTTGTGCATCAGAACCGCTGGCTCCAATAAAAACACCAGTTCGACTACCACGTATTGATGAAGGATTGACTCCTGGTGTCAAAAATATTATGGTAAACATTTCTTGAAAAATTCATTTTGAAAAATCTCTTACCGCTATCGACAATCGCTTCGTACGTCACCTCCAATAATAGTCTTAATTGTGGATCCATTTGATGGGCTTGTTTGGGATGAACATTGAAAAATGCAGCATCAAAATATTTAACATTCTTTAATTTTCCATTTCTTGTTGGTAAACCAAATGTAGCTTCTGGCCATCGTCGATCATCAGCTGTCACCATATCGACACCATCAAAGAGATTTTTTGCAAACTCATCAATATTGTCAGACTCTGGACACCTCACTGAAACTCCGGATATAACGAAATCTTCACCATGATCTTTCACAGTAGCATTATGATTAACACCGTCACCTCCAACATCGTAATTCAATCGACGGTCTATTGATGGCATAATAATATGTATGATCTTTAATATATAATACAAATTTGTATTATTAGCTCTCTTACTGTATAAAATAGAAACATGTCACCAAAAATAGAAACTTACACTTATGTTTTCTCTCACAATGTATGTGTTATAGTAGCGATTCTTCTTAGAAACTTTTTAGTTTAGGTTATCATGAGGTGTCTCCGAATACCACAAGTCCTTTTGGTGCTTTTTTCTGATATCCTACCTTTGTGTAAAATAAAATTTCAATTCAATTTCAATTCAACTGAGAGAAAAATAAAGTTCATGCAGAGCCGCGGTAAAGTGCATTTTTACACTCAGCACACTCGTTAAAGCACAAGATTTTCTATTTTTGACGAGGAATATTGCCAAAAGCTTAAGAAAAATTTTGAAACTAATATTCTTTTCCCGTGGAAATTTTTTTCGCCATTTTGTTAACAAAATTTTTCCTAAACTTTTGACAATACCCCCCGCCAAAAACATAGTCTTCGCGGTTATCGAGTGTGCTGATTACACAAATGCACTTTCCCCCGACTCTGCATGAAATTAATTTTTTTCTTCATATTGATACCTGTACAGAAAATCCAGGTCAAAACCAGGCATCCGTAAATTTTATCCATAAATCTCTACTATCGCTGTAAAATTTCCAGATTTCACGTTGATAGTAGAGATTTATAGATAAAATTTATGGATGGCTAGTTTTGACCGAGAATCCATGCGTTATTTATTCTCTAAAAAGAATGTATTTAACGTATTGTTTCAACTAATCTCGATCATGCCAGCACAAACAAAAAGAGAAAAAGTAGATTTCGATGATCGGTTGATCATAACGGTATCACAAACATATCACGAGGCTTCAGAATAACGGTAGCACGAGGCTTCAGGATAACGGTGGCACGAGGATATCGTGAGACACCTAGTGTTTACGATTAAGAAAGAAAAACACTTTCTTTTATAGCTATCAATTGAAAAAGCGACATGACACTTGTGATTGTGAATGATTTTCGAGTAATAACAAAAAATAAAATATATTAAGATTACTTAACAGGATAGGCTCGTTTTCTGCTAGCAGCTCAAAAATAGCTAGCTAGAATTTTCAAGAGAGATGTAGTCCTCAGTTTTAAAAGCAGGCAAAGTGGCAATATGGTAGCCTGAAAAGGCGAATATTAAACTGATTTTGCTCTTCTTTATGAGGATTTTTCTGCTAACGCTTAATGAATTGCTTACTAAATGATAAATAGTATTGGTAAAATTTGACACACGCCTTTCAACAGCGACATCTGAAAGATTTCAGTTCCACAAAATTGGTGACGAACCAGTAACTCTATATTTGCAGAGATAACTTTTCGTTTTCGACAACGACCATCTTTGCGGCGAAAAATTTGTCGGATAACTTAACTGTAGTTAACTATCGGCTCGGCAGAAGCTATATGACGGGATGACGCCACCGACTTTTTTTCATAGTTTTGGTATTAGGAGCAAAAGATTTTGGATTCTGAAAGACTAAGAGGATGGGGCGGATTGTTTGATAAAATCGGCTCCTGTATGAATTTCATCAACACATGAAAGGCTAGATGTAGAATGAACAGGAGAACGTTTCTAAGTACTTACCAGGCCTTAGAATTGCTTTCAGAAAAAAATTAGTCGAATTAAATTTAATCAAACTTCTCATGATATTTGTTATCGATCATGGGTGGGTCAAACAACATTTTTAGAGTGATACAGGCAGAGCCATACTTCCATTCATAATTGTTCTGTACGTGGTTTTTTAATTCGTTCGATTTTATAATCACTTCTAGCGGATAAAATTAACCATATCCTAAAGTTTTGAACTCGTTCTGATTGTCTTTGAGTAGACATTGAGTTTTTCAATATTAGGTGAAAATAGGCAGAAAACCCTAATTTTTGAAAAACGTGACTTACATTAGTTTTTAAATCTTTTTCTAAAACAAATATTGCCCACAAGACTCAACATGATTGATTACCTATAATTCACTCCTTTCTGAGATTACTAAAAGTCGCGTGACACTAGTTCTAGGAGTGAAATTCGATATCATTCCCAAAGAAATTCGATTTCATTCCCAAAGAAATTCGATATCATACCCAAACCACTAAAGATCAAGACCTCGCTTGAATTGGCTTTAAAGAGGACACTCTGGAAGTTATATATACCAAATTGTAGCTTGAAAAATTGTTTATGAAATGGTATATTTACCATAGTGGTCGTATGAGAAAAGTTGGTCATAGAACATTGAAGAATTGTAGCACGTGGATCTTTTGTTATAGAAAGAAGTATTTCCAGACATACTTGATCTCAGAATGACTACTTCCTGTGTATGATACACGGAAATATAGGCAAGAAAAAGAGCTTTCGAATGGTGTATAATAGTTGTGATAAGTTGGAAAACATCCAAAAATATGATCGATAACATATATCACGAGAAGTTTGATTAAATTTAATTCGACCAAATTTTTTCTGAAAGCAATTCTAAGGCCTGTTAAGTACTTTGAAACGTTCTCCTGTTCATTCTACATCTAGCCTATCATTTATCGATGAAATTCATACTTGAGCCGATAATCAAATAATCGCCATCGATTATCGTATTGAAAATGGATGACTTTCGCCCTGAAAGTTCTTTCCTTCTGAAAACTACTTAGCTGTGTTGGCTGCTATTTAAATTAATGAAATATAGAATTTTAGAAAACAATCTAGCGTTTTGTTTCATGTTTTTTTTCTTCTTGACGGCATGTAGTGTCAATCAAATAAGGTTATTCGTAATTGCAATGCTGCAAGTTACACCGTAGTAATTAAAAATGTATACATTATCGCACGAGCATTTCTGGAAATGTTTTAAAGTTAGCTATTCAGTTCACTAGCAATGTGTGCCAAAAGATTAAAAAACCAGAAATGACGAGCACAAATTTTGTCGGTTAATATTAAACAGTAAACTCTCTTTGTTTTCTTGCTTCGTTAAAAAATAGTCGCGAACTGTACAAGAATGCTATACAAAAAAAGAGAAAACTATGTAAAACAAAAACCAAACATACACACGGATAGACATAAAACAACAGGCACCATTATCGAACGTTTATCTCTATATATTCATATCCAACCACGTGAAAAAGTTACTGTAATAAAAACTCTGGTAACATAAAAGTGAAACAGATAAATAAATAGTTAGCTTCGTTCACAATGACAAAGACAACGAAACAAATTCAACAACAAAAAAAAGAAAATGAACTCATTTTTCCGTGCCAAGCATTTTACCCAAACCACCGGCGCCGCCTTGTTGAAATTGACGCATCATTGTTGATAAACCACCCATACCACCTACGCAAGGAAAAGAATAGTTAGAAAATTTAGGATTAGCTAGAAGAAGTGTCCTAGATGTTCTTACCGATCTGGTGCAATATTCTAGGATCAATAAGTTTTCCAATTTGACTGTTTAATTTGGCGATTTGTGTTTGATTAACGTTTTTGGTCATGTCACCAGCTGTCAATAAAAAAAGAATATTTCAATAGAAAGTTCCTTCTAAGCAACAAGATTTGACCGCAACAGAGGAACACTCTTTAGAATTCGACTTGCCAGACGTACGTTTAAATAATCCTTTGATGCCACCCATTTTTTTCACCATTTGGGCAAATTTGGAATATTGTGTAATTAGATCATTGACATCACGTATAGAGACACCAGCTCCTCTTGCTACACGTGCACATCGGCCACTTTGTGTTTTGAATAATTTTGCACCATCCAAATGATCAAGTTCTAAACAAAACTAATCTTTTGGAATAAATAATTTCTGTGCATCACAAATCTGTACCGTTGTCACTCATACTGTCCATAATACACATCATCTTTTTTAATCTAGCTTGTGATTCTTGTTCACCACTTTTTGATATAAATTCCGTACCAAAACCAGGTATCATACCCTTGGAAAAAAAAATGAATACTAAATGTATAAATCAAAGTTTGGACGCGCACATACCATTATTTGACCAAATGGTCCCATTTTCATGATGTTTTGAAACTGTTCATACATATCACGTAATGTAAACTGACCTATAAGCGAGTGACAAATTAAAGAATTTGCTTTTCAAAAATAAACCCAAATTACTTACCATGTTTTAATTTTTCAATCAGTTCTTCATTATCTTCTAGTTTTAAATCATTTACTTTTTCTACAAGTCCCTGTATATCACCCATACCTAATTAATGAAAAAAACAGACTAGTCAAACATTTTATTTTAGTAATTTAATCACTACTGCATACCAAGCAATTTGCTAATGAATGGTTTTGTTTTGAATGCTTCGAAATCGTCAATATGTTCTCCAGTTCCGATAAATATAATTGGACTCTTTGTAGCAGCAACACTAAAAAAAGAATAATATTAGTCAACGGCTTCTTACGTGCCCATATCAAATTATAACAAAACATACGCGCTCAATGCACCACCACCTTTGGCATGACTATCTAATTTTGTAACAATAACTGAGCCAACATCGACTTTTGATTTAAATGCTCGAGCCTTGAAGTAAAAATGAATTTTTCTACAACTAGCTAGTGGCCAATTAAAATAGTTTTTCATTTTACCTGTAACTCACAAGCCTGACCAATACTTGCGTCCATAACGAATATGATATTATCAGGTTGCTAAACAGAATAAAAACAGAAATTGACATCAGGATGAGCTATATTTCCAAATCAAGAAAAAATTCATACAATTCCGTTAGATATTTGCAACATTTCTTCGAATAATGTTTCTTCTTGAGCATGTCGTCCACTTGTATCAACAACAATTAGTTCAAAATTATCTTTACGGAATGTCTCAACACCATCCATGGCAATGACAAGTGGATCACTTTCTGTATAACTACAAAAAGACACGGCTCATTTCTACTATTCATTTTGTGAAGAAATAAACATTTTCATACCTTCCATAAAATGGTATTCGAGCTTTCGTAGCATTTTGTTTCAATTGATCAAAAGCACCAGCACGAAACGTATCAGCACAAACCAAAGCCGTTTTCCAACCACGTTTCATATAATGATACGCATACTAAAACCGAAAAAAGTTAAAAAATAAAAAATCATTAATAATCGTTTCGATTTACTTTGGTACACGTTGTTGTTTTTCCACTTCCTTGTAAACCAACAAACATAACAATGTTTGGTTTGTTTTTCACTGGTTGCCATGCTTTAACTTCTGGATCGATAAGCTAAAATCAAAGGAAAATATTGCTGAATATTTACTGAAAACATACAGATTAGAGCCACTTACACGAACTAATTCTTTGACAACAGCTGATTGAATTAATCGACGTTTATTTAGACCAACAGCTGTTTCACTTAGATTGATTGCTTGCCTATAATAAAGCAAAAGCAATAGAAAAAATGATCAACATTGTCACCGTTTAAAACTGCCATCTAACTTACTTGACATTCTCACGTAGTTGTTTCACAAGAAGAACATTGACATCGGCTTCTAATAATGCCCGACATATTTCACCCAATGCTTCAGTCAATACTTGTTCATTAATAATTGTAGCATTACTCAAATTACGGAGAGCATTGGTAATTTTTCGACCAAGATCAGCGAGTACCATAGCAAAAACTTAATCTAAAACGAAAAAAAAAGATTAACTTGCTGTTAAAATAATAATAAAACAAAATAGTAGATATCAATATATAAATAATGAATTAAACATGAAATCTAAAATTATTGTCATTTGATTATTGACAAGTTTAGCTTTATCGCATTGTGCACAGATCTCAAAACGACATACTACACAAAAATTTACAAAAACAAACAACAAACACATCTCATATAAAAAAATGCGAAAAAAGAAAAATTTTTGCCCAAGAATTCAACTGACTAATACAAATTAAATATTGTCAGTACATATTCTACGCAACAAACAAGTACACAAAATGTATGAAACGTAAATAGGATGCTATGAGCAAACAACATTTCTACTTAAAACTTTTTTAAAAATAGTTATAATTCAGAGAATGAAAATAATTTTCGAGTAGAACGAAAACGTTAAGATAGGAAAGATATAGTTAGAAAACTAGTGGAAAGGTAGGAAATACGACCTTTTCTATTTATCTACAGTTTTGTAATAGATGTCCCATGGTTTGTCAGTATCTTTCCAGTATTTATCAACCACTTTGTCGAGCGTCGTTGAATTTTCAATTAAAACAAACGAATCGTGGGATGATGTCGTTGCTGCCGTTTTTTGCTGGATATAAAATGCAAAATTATATTCATCAGTATCATGTATACGAGTGTTGATATTTGTCGATGATGCTAAACTCCCTTTTTCAATTTTAATACGAAGATTCAAATATTTTGATAAATGATTCATTGTAGCATTTGTTGATGTTATAATCATACGCTGATTTTGGGTTTGATGAATATGTTCGACGGGATGGGGTTTTAAAAATACTTCAATATCATTTGATTTCTTTTTCTTGTTACCCTGTTGATCATCCGTTGATGTACTTCGTCGACGTTTTTGTTTTTTGTTCGTCACATCATCACCACTATCATTGCTTTTGGTGTTAACGCTTGTTGTTGGTAAAGATCGACGCTTTGATTTATTATCTCCTGTCGTTATATCATCTGTTGACGAAGAAGTTAGTTTTGATGATAAACTCTTTAGTTTTGATTTTGATGCTAAAACTTTTTCATGAAATTCATCTAAATCATTGCGTGAAGGAAATAATTTCATAATAAGGGCATCAAAATTTGGATCACGTCTTAAGCAACGTTTTGATATTAATTTTTTTCGACATGTTGGACATTCTTTGTTGCCGCTTCTCAGCGCTGTTTCAATACAATCACAACAAAAACGATGTAAACATTCTTTTGTTGTTCGAGTGTTACGTAGTAAATCTAAACATATTGGACACGTTAGTTCACTTTGTAACGATTTTGGACTAATACATAGTTCTTCATCACGTAATAATTCATGTGGTTTACGTTGTTGTTCATACGGTGTTAGATCCCATGATTTAAAGCCGGATGTGGAACTTGTATCGGAACTCATCGCCGCAGAAATTGTTGTTGAACGTCTAGGTAAATAAACAATAAAAACCAGGTTTAAAAGTACCAGACAAAAAGCAGATGTCAATATGTGAGTGATCAGCAATAGCCATGCGCAGAAGTACAAAATTGCGTCTCATCTTTTCAAATTAATTTGATGCAGTTCTATACGTCTACATTAGATGATGAGTTTTTTTTTGCACAAATTTAGCACAGTTAAATTACAACCCAATAATAAACATAAAAGAACGATTCATGCAACAACAACTAAGTGGACGAATGACAGTAACACCCACACAAAACATGTAATTACATCATCAGACTGTAGGTAGACCAATCACATTCTTTTCTTCTAAAACTACATCTAGGAGTTTGTATCTAAAATGTCAATGATATGGACAAGTACTTCTGCTGAATAGAGAAAGATCGCAATAATGATATTTGCTGCTCCTGAAATCAGAAAAAGCGAGTAGTAACGCAACAAATTTAATTACGTTGATCTCTATTTCAAAATTTACTTTTGCTTTTGTATGATAGACTTATGACGAATGAAATATATATTATTTTTCTCGACTGATGAGTACATTGATACACTTTCTTATCGATGTTCTTGCAAGACTCTTATTGTTTGTGGTTTCAGACAAGAGTCTTGTACACAAAACCTGTCATGGAAATCGTAAGGGTGAACCTCGAATATGACATAAGTTACGCAAGAAGTATCGCTAAATCCCTATATATTGTTAAAACTAGAAACACCTTCAGTTTCAAAAATTAGTTATTTTTGCACAATCGATCTTGGAAAAAATCATGTTTCCGTAATATTAAATGGTAAAGCAAAATGGAGCCAGGAGAATTTTTTGGTTATGCGCAGATAAAAAATTCCGGTTAAGCTTTGGTTGATTACGCGAGGAAAGGATAGAATAGGAAGAAGCAAAGCACAAAAGCACTACACAGTTGATGGAATCGAACATTTGAACTGGAAATTCAAATGCAACGAATTTACTTTTGCACTAGATTATCCAAAAGTAAATTTAAGGTGTTCTCATCCCCATCCTGTACACTGCTATAGTGTGTTCTAACTCCACTGCTCAACCCATACAATTTATATCTTTGATCAGTGACCAAAGCTTATATATTCCGTAATGAGTTATAGAGAAATGTTGTAGATAGAGGCAGTGAGCGATACAAGTGGTATCGAGAAGATGGAACGTGAATGGACAATATGTGTGTGTGAGAGACTACATCACAGAACAGAAAAGCTTTCTATGTTTTGATATACTTCAGTTAAAAGTTGCGGAGGGAGCAGAGCGTGACCATATACAAACAGGCAACATTCACTTCACTGTCGTGTGAAAAAAACAAACGAAGCAAAGTTCGCATTTTTTCATTCAATATTGTCATTTATGTACAGGTAGCTGTTTCTCGTTCAATAATCTTCTTTTTCTCAATCGGTTTTGTTTTTTCGCATTATTAGTAAAGATTCCCTGATTCGAGCAGAGTACATTACAGTAGATGTGAAAGTTAGACGCAAATCGCTGGTAGCAATGTGAATGTAGATTGATTGCACCACCTTATGCCTAGTTTTCATAATTAATGTACCCAAATCGAGTTATTTCATCTTACAAAAACTTGAAACAGAATAAATAAATTTGGAAATGATCGAATTAGGTATGTTGACGGGCAATATCAAAGGCGTGTGAGTTTTGCGTGTACGTATGGCATATAATTGGTCACCTGAAAATCAAACAGTTAGGCACTTTGATGAGAAAAGGCAGTATTTATCTTGAGAAAGTAAGATAGAATGGTTAAAAAATGCAGTTTACAAGGTGAAACGTTTTCACGTAAAAATCTATTGGTCAGATGTCGGTGTAAGACGGATCGATGCTGAGCAATAATGTATAATTTGTGTAATGAACCATAGTCGTATCTAGTTGAGGTCGCCACATGTCGGTGTAGTTTTCTTGCGTTGTCTTTTGATTGTTCAAGGTAATATTTAGAGCGCTTCGGCATCAGTCCTCTAGCGGCCTGCGGGACCAAACCTTTTGGTCCCGGTCCCGTAAATATTTTTTCAAAGTAGCGCTAATAGTTTGAAAGTCCGCGCGTTTTAATGTGGCTCGTGGAACAGCATGCCACAGTGGGCATTTTTTGCTAGAGCAGGCGGACTTTAGCTTTATGAGTGAACTAAAATTTCATGAACCATTTTTTTATAGGTTTTTCATGATCCTCTTTCTAATGCCATGAGAGTTGGGTTTTGAAA